GAGAGAATGAGCTCAAAACTCAGCAGGTTCTGCAGAACCACAGAGGCCTGTTTGACCAGCCTCTAATCCTCAACGTTCAGGTGAGATTTAAACATGTGAAGGAAGATTCCAGTCCAGGTGCTGACAGCAGGGTTCTGGGTTCTCCAGGAGCCAGCAGGAAGACCGAGCTGTGATGAAGAACTGGGGAGGAAGTTAGCCGTGGCTGAGCAGGAAGTTCTTTATCTGAACAAGTTCTTCAAACAGATCACCCAGAGGTACACAGAGGACATGAAGAAACTGGAGGAAAAGGTACAGGAACAAGTAGGATTATATCAACTGAGAACATCTTAGTTTCCTCAGATAAAGACCAGAGATCTGAGCTCATCATGGTTTGTTTCCTCAGATAAAGACCAGGGATCTGAGCTCATCATGGTTTGTTTCCTCAGATAAAGACCAGGGATCTGAGCTCATGGTTTGTTTCCTCAGATAAAGACCAGGGATCGGTACATCAGCAGTCTGAAGAAGAAGTGTCAGAGAGATACTGAGGAGAACCAAGAGAAGCAGCAGAGGATAGAGACTCTGGAGACATATCTGTGTGATCTACCATCACTGGATGAGGTACAGCTTCAGTCCAAACAGGTACACAGCCCTGCCCTTCACACCTGTTCTCTGTAGTTATTGCTCAGCCCTGCCTCTCACCTCTTTTTGGAATTGTTCTTTAGAATGTTTTATTTTGCTGCCATGTCATCATTAGTTACTTTTTATCTCCGCCAAGTGCATGAGGTAATGTCTTTGGCCATGTATGTTTGTCTGTGGACAAAATTACTCAAAAACTTACAGACGGATTGTCATGAAATTTTCACCACAAGTGAGTTTGGCCAAAGGAACACACCATTAAATTTTGGTGATGATCTGGCTCTGCCAATCAGCTTCAAGGAAGCTGACCGTAGACTTCCAATCACATCAGATCATTCGTAGACGGTTCAACCTCCCGACTGTACACATCCAATGGGATTGCCTGAAGAGGTGAAGAAGACCAATCATGAAGGTGCATGGAAATAAAACTTTAGACCAAATTGTTTTTAAATCGAATAACTTACTATTTGTAGTTACTTTAATGTAACAACAGATCATTTTCATAATACATCGGCCTGCACATCCTAACAATTTTGTGTTTACGTTTTTGGAGTTTTTTRCCCCCCACCTGTATCGGACAGGTAAGCTAGCTAACTCACCACCCCCCGTTCAGGTCTGTTATCTGATAGATAACGCTAAGGTTTTCTTAAAAACTATTATGTTTATTCTGTTTTTTATGGCTAAATGTTTTCTTTTTTCTGATGCTGTTCCACTCCTTCTGTTGCATGTAATTTATTATGTGTTTAGTTATTGTAAAACACTTGTACACAAACACACATGTGACTAAAATGTAATAAATCACACACAAAACAAACACACACAAACATACGGCCTTGGCGGAGGTTTGCACTCTCTGAGTGCTTCTAGTTATAAATGGTTTATTCCCTCGTCAGATTATTATTATTATTTTTTGTGAAAAAATCTTTTTTCCTGGTGGTCTTTAATACAAAGTGTGACACATTGCATCCTAATTCCAGTGGTGAGGTGTGCKAGCTCAGGTGGTTTTGGTTTGTGAGCTCAGCAGGAGGAGTTCCAGCAGAAAGCCGAGGATTTGAAGAGAACTGTGTCCCAGTTGGAGAAAAGCATCGAGGAAGGATGTTCTCTGCTTCAGGAGAAAGACACCATGCTCCAGCTGCAGGCCAGCAGAGAGCAGGAGCTGCAGGAGTCTGTACGCAAGTAAATACATTTACCTTTCTATGGACTTCTTTCATCATTCAGTACTTGTACATACAGTAACTCTGTGTATCCAGAATAAAACAGGAGCCTCAGCTTTAACTGCACAGGTTGGAGSTAAAACTCAAATGATTGTTTACGTATAATTTATCATTTCTGCTTTAGTTTTAGAACATGCTAAAACTTTTCTCTCTTGGATTAAATCTGCAGCTGGACTGGAGGGTTTTGACAATAATCTAAGAAAACTGAGTCCTGGACCTGATTCTAACTAACCTAACCTGAGCTAGAGAACTAGGTCCACAGATGAGCTTCACCTGTAGGGAGGTGGGTCTGAGGTCAAGTGAAGAGCAGGCCTTAACAATTAATGAGTTTTGAGGAGAAAAGTGTGTTCACATCTTTTTTGACTCTCCACAATAAGAGTCCAAACCTAACAGGAAGTCCATATA